CCCTCCGTCCATGTCTAGGAAGGTGAACATCCAAACTGGCTAGGCTCCCATCAAGCCAGAACATGAAATAGGATCAAAACCCCTTGCCATTGACCTTGGCTTCTCATCAGTCCTCATTTAATCTTTATAATGACTCTTGAAAGATAAAAACACTAAATAGTAAAATACTTTCTGAGGAGAGAGTGGGAATAATAAAACATCTTCATTCATTCAATGAGCCAATGTATGAGCCTACTAAAGTGCTTGGACTGTTGAAAGAGCTGCAGGAAGAAATGAGATGAATTAGATGCTTTTTAGCTTATTCTCATTAAGCTACTGTTTGAAGATGAGGAATACATGAATATATATATGTATGGTACATTTCCGTACATACAATGTGGAGGAGGAATACCAGAATATCTCGTCTTAGAATGGCATGGTCACCATTCTGAGAGAGTCAGCAATGTGTTGTCTGAAATGTCGAGAGCTGTGGCTGCTGTGACTCTGAGTGTTAGGGGCAAAAGAAGAGCAAAGCAAAGCTCAGGAGCATTCTACACTCTGAACAAAAGTTCCAAGTAGAGAGAGAGCACAGTGGCAGGCACACAGAAAGGAAAAGAGAATGGAAGACTCTTAAGAGCCAGCTTGGTGGGCTTTAAGTTAGCAGATAATAATGGGAAGCTACTTGCTGTTTGAAAAAAAGCCATGCCTGTCTGTAGATGTTCTATTCACAGATATGAATGAAAAATGTGGTAAACATACACAACGAGATTGTTCTCAATCTCAGGGAACAAAGTTACATAATTTGCAGGAAAACCTGTGCAACAGGAGATCAACTTACGAAACAATTAAGCCAACCTCATAAAAAAATCATTATTGTAATTCTCTCATTTGTGGTTCCTAGATCTTAAACAGCAATATAAAAACTATATAAATATACATGACATGAAGGAAGTGAATCTACCTGGGGAACAAAGAGGATTAATAAAATGGGATGTTCTATCGGGAACTCACCAAGGCCAGCTGGCCTGGGTCTGAAAAAGCCTGGGATAAAACCGGACTCGCTGAACATAGTGGACAATGAGGACTACTGAGAACTCAAGAACAATGGCAATGGGTTTTTGATCCTACTGCACGTACTGGCTTTGTGGGAGCCTAGGCAGTTTGGATGCTCACCTTACTAGACCTGTATGGAGGTGGGTGGTCCTTGGACTTCCCACAGGGCAGGGAACCCTGATTGCTCTTTGGGCTGAGGGAGGGAGGGGGACTTGATTGGGGGAGGGGGAGGGAAATGGGAGGCGGTGGCGGGGAAGAGACAGAAATCATAAATAAATAAATAAATAAATAAATAAATAAATAAATAAATAAATGGGCTCTGCTCCTGAAAACAAACAAACAAACAAACAAATAACTAAATAAATAAATAAATAAAATGGGCTCTGCTCCTGAAAATAAATAAGTAAATAAATAAATAAATAAAATGGGCTCTGCTCCTGAAAATAAATAAATAAGTAAATAAGTAAATAAATAAATAAAATGGGGATGAGGATGGAAAAAGGTGGAAGAGGAATAAGAACAGAGGTGTTCAGTGTACAACATACACTTGTATGAAAAGTTAAAAACATCCAAATTTGAAAGCCTTCCCTAAAAACAAAAAAAGAAGGAAGCCATTATATTGCTAGAATTGTATCTATAATCCCCTTGTCGTGTGGAGTCTAGTATACAGGAGCCAGCCAAGCTATTATGTAGTGGAGAATAGTAAATTAGGATTAAGAGAACAGAAACACGGGTCAAGAAAAGTCGTTGAGGGTATTACGTAGGATATCTGAGGTTAAAATGTGTTTATATACTGACAGTTAAAGGATGTGTTTATATACTGACAGTTAAAGGAACAGGTGAAGAGCAAGAAGGATATAGGTCAATGAATGTGAAGCAGCTTTTTCAAAGTATAAATTATCATATATTTAAAGATGCCATTGTATTTTAGGTCCTTCATAGATATTAGATATAAGCAGCTAATTGGAACATAAAATTCTTATTGGTTGAGCAATATTTAAAATTAAGAGAAACATCAAATTTTGAGAAAAAATGGCAAGGGCCAAAAATAAGATCAGAAATAAAACCATGCAAATATTAATGTTCCAAAGCATAATATTTACAGAAATTCATAACATTATATATGCTCTAAAACCATCTCTTGAATTCAGAATGGTGGGACAGGTTTAACTTATGTTTACTGATACTGATATGTAAGTGCCTTTTTCCACCCACATGACAAGTATAATTCAGACATTTTGTGAAAATATCCAATTTTTGAAATGAAATTGAAGGATATTTTCAATTTTATAATTATAAAGGCTACAGATTTCGGTATACAAGCAGATTTTATTTCTATCATTCTATCTATGGTTATTTTTCATTATTTAAACTTGAAAACTAGAAAAAGAAAAATTGATAAAAGAAACTAAGATACTTGTTAAAAATAATAATAACAAAGCTTTAAGATTTTAAAAACATCATTCAATGAAAGGAGCATTGCAATCCATGTCTACCATGCAAGTTTGGATTAAAATAAATGGAAATGAAGTAGATATGAATTTATCATAGAAATAAGTGATGTCACTGAAGAAAACAATGTCTGTGGTCATTATGCATTATGGAATAAATTTAGTTTTGTTTCTTTAACCACAGATATTGCTTATTATGAATACAAATATTATTGTTGTCCTAATTTCATTCTTTGTTTTCTTGTTCTGTTTTTGGTGATTGTTTTTGAGAGTGAATGTTATCTGGAGCCCTGGCTTGCTTACTTACTCATTATGTAGGCCAGGCTGGCCCCAAAGCTATAGAAATTTTCTTCCTTTTACCTCCTAGTGATTAAAGGGGTACGCCAACATAAGAAAACTTCATTTTTTATTTTTTTTATTACTTTTTGTTCTAACTCATCATTTCAATACACCATAAAAAGGTATTGTTTTGGTATATAAATTCAATAACATAAGTGTGAGTCCTTAGCAATCAATGAATGTTTTAATTCTGAAAATGACTTTTGATTAAAAAAAATAGGTCTCCTAGGTGGGTTTAATTTGTCAACTTGACACACAGACTTGATCATCTGAGATGAAGTCTTGATGAAGGAATTGCCTAGATAACATTGGCCTGTGGGTATATCAAAAGGGTATTATCTTGATTATTAATTGATGCACATGGACTCATCTCATTATTGGGGTGCCTACCATAGGCAGGTAGTCCTGAGCTGTATAAGAATGCTAATTAAGCAATGAGTTTCTGACCAATCTACAAGCAGTGGTCCTCCATTCTTTATGTTTCAAATACCATCTTGAGTTTCTGTTCTTACCTCCCTCAATGATGGACTGTGACCTAGAAGTACAAGCTGAAATAAACTTTTTCCTACTCCTAGTTGCTTTTGGTGATGATATTTGGATCAGTAAATGAAAGAAAACAATTTGATTAACATGCATCCCACAGAAGAAGCTAAAGAATGACTGAAATAAGAACATGTTGATAAAAATGTGACCTCCAGCCAAGAGACATTTTTTTCTTTTCCTTCCTTCCTTCCTTCCTTCCTTCCTTCCTTCCTTCCTTCCTTCCTTCCTTCCTTCCTTCTCCTCCTCTTCTTTCTTTCTTTCTTTCTTTCTTTCTTTCTTTCTTTCTTTCTTTCTTTCTTTCTTTCGTCCCTTCCTTCATTCCTCCCTCCCTCCCTTCTTCCCTTTCTTCCTTTTCCTGTTTTTTTTTTCTGCCTTCTAAAAATATCAGTAAGAGGTTTCTCATCAGGACTAATGGTTCATCTTTTAAAAAAAGTACTAGAGGGACTTTTAGAGTCAATTTATTGAATGCGGTTTTAGAGTAGTAAAAATACATTTCAGGTATAAGATACATAATTTTATTTTTAGGGAAATCATTAAACTGCATTCAAAGTACAAACTTATTTCCTAAAATAATGTAATTGGAAAGTCTTTTTCCATTAACTTAGTTATTGAACATCCTGATGGATATCGGCATATGGAAGGGAACCTGCTTTCTGAAGTAGAACTGGCCTGGCAAGAGCTCACACTTACTCATATGGTCAGTTAATGGCTGAGCTGAGAAATAAAAGAGAGTCATTCAGCCCAGCATTTCCTCTGTCCATGATCTTTCTCTGGATCATATGCTCATACTCAGTTTGAAAACAGACTTCCCAGTATATGTTTCTTTAGTACAAGATGCCAAGGACAGTGGGTATGATGTGATCTAGTTCATACAAGTTAGGAATTGCTGATAATGAGGAAGGGATAGCTCAAAGAAAGCAACAACAAGACCTCATGACAAAGTCCTCATTGGAGACATATTACCCTGGAAGATGCTAAGAAATACCGCATCCTCTGATTCACCATTATTGTGCAGCCACAAGCTGTTGAGGGCATTTTTCTAATTATTTAGAGGTTCCCATTAAATCTCAGAATCCCTTTTGTATGAGATCCAAGCTTCATTGCTACGGTAATTTGAACCCTTTTCATTGGCCTCAACTTATACCTCCCTCTACTCTATATGCTTTCCTTTATTATACAATTATGATTTAAAAGGCTGACGAGGAAGACACTCCAGCCACACATCCAGACTAGGCTCTTGTCTCACTTTCATTTCCCTAATGGCTTCATTGTAATTAGATTTGCAAAAACAGCAAAAGGTCTCATTTTGAATGGCAACAGCTGTTGACATCGACATCATATTGAATAATTTACTGGTTTAATTTTAGTTGCAAAACAATAAAACCCTCTTGTGGATGATTTTTGCAGGCAAAGTTTTCTCTTTCTCTTGCTGACTCTTCTGCTCCAGTAGCACCAGGTTTTATTTTTTCATAAAATAGTTTTAACTCAAGTGTACCAAAACTCACAAGGGGAACTGTTTATTACTTCTGTTTTCCTTGAAGCAAAGTGTGTAGGTGACTGTCTCTTCCTCAATCTGTGTGCTTATGTAGAGACTGAGGAGTTGGCAGGCAGGTCTTCTATGTTGCATTTGCATTCATGGGGCAGAATATTGCTATACCTTTTGAGGATCTGCTACTACATGGAGTGACTTAGCTGATTTCCTGACCTGTAGGAAATTATAGCAACATCCAAAAATTGATGTTTTCTTGGCAGAAAATTATGTTGTTCACTTCACTTTTTCAATATCTTCTAACAGCTAGGGCTCAATCTGTCAGGACAATCTCTTTACAGAACCTCCACTTTCTGCCAGATATAAAGCACCCAAGATAACTCTCAACAAGTGTGTACATCTGTGTGTTTCTCTGCCTACACTGAGAGTAAACACTCACAAAGAAAGTGAGGTTTTTATGATGAGAGAATAGAGTGAGTTAGCTACTCTTAATTTTAACAATATTTAACTTTTCTAGGAAACAAGGAGAAATTACTAGTGAGATAAGATATTTTTTAAAGAAATAGATTAGAATTTGTTAGAGTTAGCATTATTTCCTTTTGTATACCATGTTCTTTTGAATAGCAATGGCCATAACATCGAACTAAAACAATCCCTCCAATTTTTGTTTATAATTTTTAATATCATAGGTTATGCTGCAGAACATATCCTTTTGAATAAAAAATATGTGTGTATCTTTCTGAATTGTTTCATGACAAAGAACTCTACATTATAAGGAAACTACAATAAAATGCCTCACATAACTATATAAGTTATGTTGTGTGTACACATATAAGCATGTTATTCTTGTTTTCTTCTCTGCCATGATGGCATAGTCTCAGATTTCATTGAAGGATAAATCCAAGGCAGTCATTTTTAAAGATATATACTCATTTTAAGTTTTGACAATAAAGAATTAGAACCACATACGAGAAATCTCTCATACATGTATGGCATTGTATTTTCTGTTATACACTGAGTCTGCTGTAAAGATTGTGCGGTTTCAAGACTACATCCAAATAATACTGGCTTCATGAAAGAGTTCCTAAGGGTAAACGATCAGTGGAGACATTTCAGAGGTTCTCCTAGAAAGAATACCATTTTAAAATCAACATGTAAATTATAACGATGAACAATATTTCCCGAGGCTATTGTAATGCAAGTAGACATCATCACAGATACTGATACATATGTTCCTCCTTTGAACTGAAAACACGTCCATGGTTTTGCCCTTGGCCAGGAAGGATGCTTACCCTTGGGTGCAGTTGGGATGGCATGGGTGGCATTCCCGATCCTGATCCGCGTACTTGAAGATGAAACTGTTAGCTCCCTGTAGGCCATCGGGACATTTCTCCACACAGTTTGGACCATCCTTAAAGTGAGAACACTTTGTGCAGTTGTCTGGTCCCTGAATATGAAAAGAAAAACAAATGTGGAGAATTAAAAATGGGTTCAAATCCTTCTGAAAGGCATTTATGTAGCTTAGTTTCGTAGATTTTTTTGAGTGACAGTTAAATAAGTCTTCCTATGAGAGCATGTCTACTAACATGGATGTGGCCACTGAAGTATAAATAGCACTAAGAGAACTGATGTGGGAGTGTCATATATCAATCTGTTGATTTCATTGGTTAAGTAATAAACACACTGCTTGGCCTCATAGGTTAAAGCATTGGTGGGAGGAATAAACAGAATAGAATTCTGGGTGGAAGAGGAAGTGAGGTCAGACTCTGCTCTGCTCCCGGAGAGACTCGACAGCTCTGCTCTGGAGCAGAGACACCAGGATGGACAGAGGCTAGACTCTTTCCGGTAAGCGCACCTTGCGGTGCTTACACACATCATTAGAAATGGGCTAGTCCAGGTGCGAGAGCTAGCCAATAAGAAGCTAGAGTTCATGGGCCAAGCAGCAGTTAAATGAATACAGTTTGTGTGTTGTTATTTCGGGCATAAGCTAGCCAAGCGGCCGGGGTGTTGGGGACGCAGCCCCGCCGCTCCTTATTTCAACAGAGAACTTAAACTTCTACTTTACTATTCTGTATATTAAACCATCATTCATCTATTATCATACTATCAAATTTCTTCAGGGAACATCTTGCTTTTGAAATCAGTTCATCTATTCTTCATGTAATATCTCTGTGACTTAATTTGAACTAATGTTTCTCAATGGCTCTTTCAAAAGGGTATCAACATTTTCATCTTGTGGTTCATTCTTAATAGTATTATAAAGTAACAGTATATCTATATAATAAAGTTTCCTTTGTATGTTTTATCACCATTAATTGAGAAGATATAAATCCACAAAATAATGAGAAATAATGAATAATGGAAATTAGAGCACATTGCTTTTCATAGGAGGCAAACTTTCCTAGTGACTATTTGAAATAAAATTAAAATTTAGTTTGATTGAATTATCAGGTATTAGACATCCTAGACATATATATGGCTCAGTGGTTAGGAGGAATGGCTGATCTTGCAGAGAACCGGCATTTTGTTTCCAGAACCCACACAACAGTTCACAATTGTGTGTAACTCCACTTTCATGAAATCCAACACCCTCACACAGACATACATGCAGGCAAACATGAATGTATATGGATAAATAAGTAAGTAAATAAATTTCTTGGTTATTCTTTGTCTTAAATCATCTTACGCTGATGCTTAAAAGGAAGTGATATGCAAACCATAGGACAATCTTTAGAGTCTTATAATACTTATTCAAAAAATAAAATATTAAAAATTATATAACTATTTTAAATAAAAAATGCCTGGAGAATCTTATCCAATGATGTAGGTATCATGAAAATTATTAATTAAAATATAGTGCATTCACTTTGCATATTTTCTTTTACAATATACATGATTTTAACAAATAGAAAATTGGTAAACAACACTAATATGAAAACATTAACAAAAATATTATATATTCATTTGTAATATCTACTTTTATTTTTAAGACAGTGTGTTCTAGTGAAACCCAGTGTTCTCAAATTTATAATTCTCACTTATCAACATCCATATTGCACAATTAAAGCAATGTATCATTATGCTCAGTCTCAAGATTTTTCTTCAGAAGGGCCCAAATCTTTGCATATTCTGTTATTTTGATTATGTTCTACTTGATACTATTATCCCTCCTTTCTAGGTACTCTGTTTGCTTAGGGGTCTATGACAATAAAATTACTTGGCTGACTTGTTTGGAATTTGTTTACCTCCAGTTCTAGTCTTCCTGTTATGTGCCTATGTCTGTAAGCCTGAACACTTGTTACAGCACACCTGAAGAAAGCGTAGATAGGTAGGACATAGTGAGCATTCAGGGACGCAATTAAACCAAATTCATATTTGCTAATATTGTGAGCTTGAAGCCATGCTAGGAGCGCATTATGCTGCACTGTTAATAAGGGATGACTGTGCAGTTATGTTTATTTGTGGGGTAACGGCAACCTCAAAATCAGCTAGATATTATAAGTCGGTAATATAAAGCAGCGCAAAACCAAAGATAAAGATTGAAGTATCTAGTGAAAAATAGTGAAGTCAAGAAGAAAATGTTATCATAAAGAAACCAGTGAGCTTAGATCACGTAGCTATCTATCCCATTGTTTTGATGTGAAGCAAAGAGCTAAAAGAAAAGAAAAAAAAAAAAAATTAGCATAGGAAACCTAATCCCCGTTCTAACTTGAGAGTTGCTAATGGTAACTTCTCATTTCCTCCCATCAAAGAATACTTCACATGCTTCCAATTTTAACACCTGCTCATGGGTACTTAGGCACGTAATACTACCTATCAGACAGAATCATTTGCTTTGCAAGTATGTTCAGTGGCATGACTTATTCTACAAGACAAGAGATACCACTTATTGCAGAACACAGAATAAGGCTTGTCATATGTAAATAAGCAGAGTCTGAGTTAGGCATATTTTTCTATTAAATTCTTGTAGTGGAAAATAATACCCAGGCTAAAAAATCTTAGCATATGAAATGTGATGAATTAAAATTAATTAATAGTGAAATATAGTCTAATGCAACCAGCTAGTTTGCGCCTATTTGATTCACCATGACACAAGAACCTACGCCAGCTGACATAGCTCAAAGGCATTCTAACAAAGCTCCAAGTACTTGAAGTGCACTGGCTCCCATTTCACTTTCATAACAAAAGACAAACATCTAATGCTCAGTCTCCCATATTGTGCTATTCCCAAGGCACAATAAGTGTCTAGAGGCAGTGAGTGACAAAGTTGTGGAGATGAAGGATGCATCTCCTTTTCCCTGGTTCTAAACTGTCTCCGGACCCTATAATCTAGACAGGCAGCAAAGCGACAGAAGAAATCCTAATGTGTGCATTATGTTATTTTTCTTAGTGGCAGTTTCTTATCCCAGGTAGTTTCTACTGAAAAGAAAGCTACTATTTACCACCATACAAAAATGTTCTCTCATCCCTGTGGGAAGACCGCCACTCACCTGTCAGTGCAGGTGAGATAAAGCTTACATTGAACAATGAAATGGAAATAGAAGCCATTAAGTAAGGGGTGAGGGCTGAACTCTCCAGCCCCCTTTCTCTGTGTTTCATGAAAACTATCAAATGTTTCATGTAGAAATGGAGACGCCATAAATTCAGAGCTATGGGTCATAACAGGAAGATGGCTCACTTTGAATATTTCCAAGATTTTCAGAGTACCCTGCATAAAAAGTATGTAATATGCTTTTCTGAGAGCAAAGAAAGAATAGAATTGACATATAAGCACAGCTTTGATGAACCATTCTAACAGCTACTTTCCATTTTTAAACATGGTTTGAAAGCTTGTTCTCCGCATCCAAATCTGATTCTTCTATTCCTGCCTCTTCAGAATCTGCTTCGGCCTCCTGTAACTGCTGGATTCCCCTTACCTATTTACCTTTCCACAGTTTCTTTGTACAACATTTAAGACACTGCTTTCCGGAAGAAAAACTGCAATGACTGGAATGAAAAAGTTAGAGTTATAACTTCTACAATAGAGTTGAAGCTTCGTGTCTCACTGGCTTTTGAAGTAGCTATATAATTATGGTTAAGTTTATTCATATTTTAAGTGAGGAATGCCACAATGTTCCTCAGATTTAACAATATTGGTGAACTTTAGTAGTTATAATTTTTTATCCTGTTGGAAACGTTGACAAACTAACCATGAAATCCTCTCTCCCTCCCTCTCTCTCTCCTTCCCCACTTCACACTTTATTCTTTATCTTCCTTTCCCTTGTAACTTTCAAGTGTTTTGATTAACTGCCTTCTTTGTTCTCCAGATATATAAAGTCTGTATTTTCATGTCACATCTAGTATCATAAGCACTGCCGTGCTGAAACAAAAATGTTTATTATGTCTACTTTTCATATCAAATAATTTTGAAGAAAATTCATAGTGTTAGTTGGTTGGAATTAGGACTCCGAGTCTCATACAAGTTCAGGGGGGTGTCATCAAACAATATAATTTTTATAAAATGTTTGCATCTTTTAAAAATAAATTGTCTCAATTTCTTTGAAGAACTTATAAGTGAGAAACTATAAAAATATACACATTGAGAGAAATTAATAAACATGTTATTCACTTATATAAGTTCATGTAGCAGAAGACAAAAGAGCAGAAGGAGCACATGGGGGGATGGTTGAGTGCTCTAAGCCCTAATCACGCAGAGGGGGATTGTAATTATGCTCATGATAGTGAGAAATTTATTAGCAATTTAAAGAGTATATCTTCTTTGGTAGAATGGAGAAATTACCTAGAAGACAAGATGAGAAAACATATGGGGAAAGACATAGCACAAAACTCTCAAAACATGCATGATGTCTGTTAAGTCCCAGCTGTAAATATGATCTACAGTGAGCTTCATAATTATCATTTTTGATTAGTAAATAACATACCAATTGAAATTTCTGACATTTGAAAACTAGTGTAATCACATAAAAGGAATGAAGGATGTATGCCGATATCTTTTGCATAAAATATATTTTTTTTCTTTCTACGTGCATTGGTGATTTGCCTGCATGTAAGTATGAATAAGAGTGTTCAGGCCCCTGTAACTGGAGTTATAGAGCATTGTGAGTGCCATTTGCATACTGGGAATCAAACATGGATCCTCTGGAATAACAACCAATTCTGTTAACCACTGAGCCATCTTTCCAGTCTGGAAACATCAAATCTTTTAAAATAGATATCTCCTATGAAATTATTCTAGCAAAATAGGATGTATCAAATAATATACTTAGATTTCATTTAAGCATATTAATTTTCTACCAATAAGATTAATTATACTAAAAATATGAATTATTAATTACATTTGGATATTTTGAAATATAAAAAAATTAAGAAAGTTTGAAATATTAAGATAAATGTGCTTTAAGATGTAGAATGCAAAATATTTGAGAAAAGACTGATATGAAATTCATCTCTGATTTTTTTGAAAAATATTTTGAATGAGTGTTAATATGTAAAAAAACAACAGTGAAGTTTGATGCAAAGCAAGCATCTAAACAATGACGCGTACTGAACAAAGTAAGAAAACCTCTCTGAGATTTGAAAGAGTAATAATGGAAAGGAGGAGGAAATGATACATGTCATGAAAATATTAAGTCACAGAAAGTAGCAGGAAATACACAGGGAGCACTGGAGCCGGAGCACCTGCAACAATCGACAAGCTAAACAATTTGCACATCGGCAAACTTGGGAGTCACTTTTTCAGTGGCATTTCACCATGCCTATGTTTAATACACATTAACTATATCCAGAGCCATCTCACGATACCAGGCATAGCAGTAAAAGGCACAATATTGCTTATTTTATTCATTCATTTTAAGCTTTTAAACTCCAGAAGAATCCTTGTTTTCATTCATTACTTAATGAGGGCCTTTGGGGTCCAGCCCCAAGGTCCTCTTCATGGTTTAGATTTGACACTATAGGACACTATTGGAATTGAAAGGAAGTTTTTTCTTAGGGTATCTGAGAGCAAAAGAATTCTCCCATACTTGCTGCTTCAAACAAGTCTCTATTCTGTTGCTTCTACTCTAATTTTTCTACCCTCTTTCTAAATTCTCCTAGCTGCTTCTTCTCCAGCCTGAACACTCTCTTCTTATAGGAGGCTTGGAGAAATACAAAAATTACAAGAGCTATCTCTCATCGGTCAAAATCATATTCCTAAGGAAAGCAATAAGGAGCTGAGACATTTACCAGGGCAACACAGGATTCCAATGTTATAGGAATAAGACCATTACCAGACAGGGTATGACAAACTTTGAGCCATAGGTCTGTTGTCAGCAGACTTTGTACGCAAAGAATTGGCATGCTACTCTTAGACTACTTTGTCAAACAACCTTGGTTGGCCATCTGTGACTCTGACCTTGTACATAACTGTAAAGTTTTAAACTTATGATCTATTTACAAAAAGCCTTTAGTCCAGTTTGAACTTGCTCTGTGGTAAATGACAGCTAATTGCGTTCAGTTAGTCTTAGCAAAAGAAACAAAGCAGGCTTTTAAGTATCTACAGTCTTTGTGGAACAATGGATTTATTTATGAGGAATATTCTAGTATATTTTTTATATATCAAAATTATACAGATAAATGAAAAATCATCTTCCTGACCAGCCACAGATAACATGTGCCTAAAAGACTGAATTGTAATCATGAGATTACTTATACACATCATATGAGATTACATACTACAATACAGGTATTGGGGGGATATCAAGCTGCTTTAGTAAATATGAGTTTCTCTGAGTCAATAGTCCTGCAGGTCTTACCTGGACAGGATTAACTTCTATTACAGAATCTCTCCTTTGGTGGGTTGGTTTCTGAACACTAGTTGCCACCTGCTTCATCTCTCATGGCCTCCAACACCTGCTGCCAAATAGTTACCTAAATATGCAAGCCTTAAGGATCCCAGGTAGACCCCTCAGCTTGCTTCACGAACAGACTAGGCAAACTTCCTTTCCTTTTATAGATTATTTTTTATGGAATCGGTATGTCTCATGTACCAGGTCAACTGTGTGTTCATGACAGTTAGTGGAGAAAAAACTAACTACAGATGCCCTTGGACATACTTTCTTTCTTTTTTTTTTTTTTTTGGTTTTTCGAGACAGGGTTTCTCTGTGGCTTTGGAGCCTGTCCTGGAACTAGCTCTGTAGCCCAGGCTGGTCTCGAACTCACAGAGATCCGCCTGCCTCTGCCTCCCGAGTGCTGGGATTAAAGGTGTGCGCCACCACCGCCTGGCCTGGACATACTTTCTTAGAGGCCAAGGAACTGTAATTTCTTCTTTACATTCATGCTTCGTGGCACATAACTAAGTTTCTGTTTCTGGAAGGCTTGCCTCTTCATATACTATTGAACTTGTGACAGTCCTTGGAAAGACCGCGTGTTGCACATCCTTTAGAGAAGGTTCCAGAGTGGCTCACTGAGGACTCAATTATATATATATATATGTGTGTGTGTGTGTGTGTGTGCTCTTTAGATTTTAAATACATTTTTTTTTGAAACTAGACTTAATTCTTGCTTATACCCGAATGTTGATCCTCACGCTGGTTAATTTCTAAGAGATGTCTCAGTAATGGAAGAATAAAATATTTGTCTGAAGAAGAATGAATGCATCACTTTCTAATGACAAACACAGACTGATCTCATTGTTCAAAGAACCTCAAGTGCTGGAAAACTAGTGGGAGGAGGCGTTTGCTGAGGTTTAGAAAAACATTTTCCCTAATAGAACTTTGAATTGTGGCTAAGGCTTCACAGTCCTTAAGGTTTTCATGATGGACATCTACTCCTTGGATTTATCTCTCTAATACAATACTGACTCTACTACTTTAGGTGTTAGTTTAGGGAGCTCATTTTGCTCCTCTTCCTAGTATGCTTCATTCTGCCATCATCAGAGACATTGAAATTTTCACTAAAGCAACATGAACCTCTCACTTTTACATCTTATTTTCTAATTCAACTGTTTCTTTAAACCTTCTGTACAGATTTCATTAATTCAATTATCATTTAAGCTGATCACGCATATATCTTTTTTTCAATAGTGTGTCATGAACCAAGACAACTCTATATTCTTATTCTTCTGCTCAAATACAATGTTTTGAGAAAAAATATTTATATGATATTAAAGTTCCTAATATTTTATCTTTCCTACTAAACTGTATGCTTCTAGATTCAAATATTAAACATGATTCCCCTCAGTTTCCTGTAAGTACCAATTTAAAGAATAGATTGACCCTAAACAATGATGACACATTTACATGCATGATATCGAATAAGCCATCACACCCACTAAGGTTTTCAGGCTTACCGGTCCATGACACGTGAGTAGTCCATCTTCCATCTTCTCACACTGGGAGTCACACTCAACACAGATGGAACCATTTTCAAACTCTCGGAATTCCCTGTGAAAATATCAACGGCATGAGGAGGTGTAAACAAACAAGCCGTCAACTTAACAAATGAGGCAACATCTGCTAAGAGTCCTATTGGCAGTGTAAATTCTTGAGTTTGTCTCTCTACTGTGCTGGGAGCCACAGATGCATTTTCCTGTGCATTTAAGGAGGAAGCTTTCTATTAAAAGGAAAGATATACGGCAGCCAGATGGTTCTATTCTCTCTCAACTGGGTTCACCAATTGTCTCATTCTGTCAGAGAGATTCTAGTGCTTTCCAAAAATAGAAAATAATTCTCTTTTGATGACACAGCAGAATAACTTCCACTTCTTTGAGAAAGACTATTCTGCTTGCTTCCTCATAAAATATTACCCTTGATTGAAGTTTTAATTTTTAAACTATTGCAGTGTTCTAATTTCTGAGCTATATAAATGTTCTCCAACCTTGTCCTTCAAATTTAAAGACTATTAAACTTACCTTTGGTCAAACTTCAAAACAGACTTTGATATCTTATCTCTTTTTAAAACATCTGCCTTGGAGAATTTGAAAAAATATCTTTTATGCTAGATTTTATTTTCTTATTGATCAAATATCACAGCATTCCTTTTAGTCTAAATTCTTTTTGAAGTAATTCTATATGGAATAAATTAAATATTTTATTTTAATATCTATGGTATAAAACTTTATTATTGTAACCTACCATGATTGGGACTTTCTATTTTTATATCAGTATATTTTATGTCTATTTATATATTGTAGGTTTTAAATACATAATTATTTCATTCAAAGTTTAATATAAATATTTTTCTTTGATAAGTGGAGTCAAATCATCTATACTATGTTAAAATTACATTGTTTTCACTAAAATACAAAATGAAATATTGGGTGAGATAATTTACTTTCGCTTAGGAGTCATTAACAATGTTGGTCATTAACTAAATCTATACATATAATTTATTCACAATTTTTGCCTTTGTATCATGAGCTATCTTTTGAAACCAATATTAACATGAATAGTGTAATTATAAATTAATTATGTGATAAATTCTAAAATATTTTCTTCCCTAAAGTCATCACTTCTTTTTTTATTTGAAGATCTAAAGTATGAATAAGCAACAGAATTCTAAAGGTTAAGTTATACATTCTGTTGGTTAAATTAATTCAAATGTTAAATTTCTGTTTTATTAATTTTTAAAATTAGGATATAATTTATTGGGTTTCCTAAGGAATTTTCATACACATATGCTATTATGCTATTTTCAAAAGATGAGGATTTAAGTACGGTTTCAAAATGTAGAGTATTGATAGGTTAATATCTGTATAGGACCTACACATTCAGTCACATTAGTTTAGTACTTGTACAGTAAGATATTAATTTGTTTTAGACTAAATATTTTATAAAATTTCTTGTTTGAAATCTTAGTTATAAACAAACCTTCTCTTTGCTCTTAATTAACATGAGAGATAGAAAGAAAAAGTACTCAACTGAGGAGGTCTTCAGAAAAAAAGTTGAAAATGACCCAAATAGAATACTTAAGTCTACAAACAGTACAAATAATGTACAATGAAATTTTATGAGAGTCTGAGTTTCACGTAATTACAAGTTTGGGATAATACAGCCATTAAAGGGTTATGTTGACAAATGAACAACATAAGTTTATGCTACTAAAATGGAGTCGGTGTTGGTCCCCTTTCTGCTACCCAATGTGCACCTCTCCACATACACAGCTAAAGAATAAACACAGTGTCATGAGAGCAATGGAGAGACTTCACCTTTCCTCCCTAATTTCATTTACAGGGCTCCTGACTGCTTCTTGCTTTCATCAAAGATCCTCCTTGAAGTCTTGAAGAGTTACTGAGTCTTTGATCATTGTTGTATCGAGCATTGCTCTTCTTAATCCACATCCCCTGGTGACTTCACTGTGGTTTTTGCAGAGTTCCCCTCTCTTGGATGTGTCTTAACAGATTACAGTCAAGATGCTAATGCGCTAGCATGGTCAGCCTTTAGATCGGAATTAATGCTATAAAACAGAGTCCCCAAAATCTAAATCTTAAACTAACACTAGTATTTGAGAATTTAACACTTGATATTTAGTTTACTAAGTATGCTCTATAAAAGGAGATAACATGTTTTACTGAGGAATGATTTCTTTCTTTCTTTTTTTTTTTTGGTTTTTCGAGACAGGGTTTCTCTGTGGTTTTGGAGCCTGTCCTGGAACTAGTTCTTGTAGACCAGGCTGGTCTCGAACTCACAGAGATCTGCCTGCCTCTGCCTCCCAAGGAATGATTTTTAAATATGCAATTGCCATCAAATACCTCTGACTTGCACTCTCGTGTTTATGTGTTGATCTCAAGGAATAAGAATGAATGCTATTTAGGAAAAGCTTCAGGGTTTCAAGATTCCATTATAGCTACTGTTTCTTCCATTTTGAATGTTCATTGTTATTACTTTGCCACTTGAATTTGAATGTAAATTAGAATGTAAAATAGAATTGTTCAACTTTATTTTTCCATCAAAAATTTTCTTTCTGTCCTGTATTTATAAATATATACTTATAAATGGACTTCTCATTTTTATAAATGTATATTTATTTGAGAGGTTTAATCAGTTTTTAAGATATAGTTTCCATAATTTACAAAAGTACTTTCATTGAGATATATGAGGAAAACTGACTTAGGAACAGCCCTGAGAAGTATATTATCACGCAAATGAAAGGCAACTATGATGTGTAAAGTTGCGCTGTGAAAGCGCTTTTCTGGGGTATGACATGCCACAGTAGAGAGTGGATACTAGGTTTTCCTGTTGCAACGTGATGCTTGCAGTACCCCAGGGAATTAAAGTCACTAGTCGAAACCCTTCTTTTTAGGTAGTGGCAGAGCGTATTTCAAACTTCTTCAACTTAAGTCATAGCTGTAGTTTTTCTATACTCCTCATCGGTTGTTAAAGACACAGAGACATGGGTTGTTTCTCAGGTGTAAATAAGCCATTCAACCTGGGTGGAGAATAATTAGGAGCTCTGTGGTCACTCTAGGTGAAAAGTGAAAGAAAGGTTCAAGAGGGGAAACTGCAGCCGGCTATAGGGTGAAGGGTAGGGGTCCTCAGTCTGTGGTTCCCAATCCGTTTGACAAATATTTACACTGTTTCATAACTAGCAAAATTACAGTTATGAAGAAGCAATAATAGCAATTTGGTTGGGGTTGCATGTTGCATACCACGACATGAAGATTAATAAAGGGCTGTAGCTTTATGAAAGTTGAGAACTACTGGTGCAGGGGGAGGCTTTAGCGATCTACTCATAATGCAAGGTGAAAATAAACAGTTTTACTAATGTGTAAGTGGGTAAAATTCATTAATATTTATCTATCTCGGCAAACATTTTTAAAATGTGAAGGTTGATCAATATCATACTTATTATTTCAATCAAAAATTACTTTTTCCTTGAAACAACTTCTTATCTCTTTTCTTGCATCACAGGCGCTCTTGAAAAATTTTGATAGGCTCATAAACTCTTACATTTTAAACTCTTACCATTTTTCTAAAGCTCAGATTTTGCTTTTGCCAGTAGCTCATAGCTCATGTGTTTTAAGTGGATTTGTCGTCTCTTACCCATCATAGAGGTTACAAGACTCTATGCAGATTTTTCCCCTGCTGAAGCGCCTACATGAGAGGCACTGGTCTGGCCCAGGTCCCCAGCAGCCATCATTCGAACACAGGTGATTGCACACCATCCCTTCAGCAGCTGCAAGACACACCAAAATCAACAAGAAAGAAGTCAAAGGATGTGTTAAAACTTACCATTTTCCTTACAAAAGCTGAATAGCAATTTTATTTAAAAGTATATACTTGAGAACGTAAGCTGCTCATACATTCTTGTTGAGTGACTTTAAAACAGCAATATAAACTGTCCAGGTCACATCTCCTTTGCTTGTATCCTAAGACTAAGTGGTAGCTCATGTATTATGTATTATGTATCATGTATTAGCCCATGTATTATGTTAAAGTTGGCAGACTTACCTAGACACATTGTTACTTTGTAACTGTGTGACTGAATAATCTTTCCTATAATTGCTAAAAGGAGGATAATTGACTTATATGAACATATGACATTGGTGGAGTTCAATCATAAAGTTTACTTCCTACTTGAGTTAGTCAGTGAAAACTAAATATCTAGCTGGCTATTTTATTGAAAAGTGATTGGATTATGATAGTACAAACTTCATCATTTAGTTAACCCACTGATGTCTTTTCTTTTGTACCCAAATATTTAGTATATTCAAAATACTCCAAACTTTAAATCAACACAAATGTAACAATGAATATCCAGATCAACAGATGACCTCTATAGGTATGTAGATTTGAATACTTGGTCTTTATGGTGTGACTCTATTTGAAAGGATTAGGAGGTGTGAGCTTGTTGGAAGAAGTGTGTCACTGGGGGTGAGCTTTGAGATTTCTAAAATACCATGCCAAACTCAGTGCCTTTCTCTTCTTTCTGCTTGTGGATTCATTTGTCGAATTCTTAACTATTCTCTTGCATCATGTCTACCTGTATGCCACCATGTCCCTGCCATGATGACAATGAAATAAATCTCTGACACTATAAATAAGCCCCAATTAAATGCTTTCTCCTATAAGAGACACCTGTAAGGGTGTCCCTTTATAGCAATAGAAAAATGACTAAGACAATTCCCAATTAGATTATAAACCTATTTTTAGATCTACTACTAAATGAAGTTATAGTAGTTAGATAAGATATTTTCAACCAGTACTTAATTTATTGATTCTATTATTCTTGGAGAAAATTTGTGATCTAAAATCTCCTCTAAAGCAAGATGAAGTGGGTTATTCCCACCTGAAGCTGTGCACTGGGCTGAAGGAGATGATGTTCCCCAAACAGAGAGGGATTGGTCTTTGGTCAGAGACTTAAGAGGAGCTGTGCTCCCTATGCTAGCCTCCAAACGAGTTCCTATTAATGTCTTATTACTGAATGGGTGAGCGATTAGCAAAGGGGGCTTAGTTGAAGAAAGAAGATGTTCACTGGGAGTCTACCGTCGAAAGGTGTAACTTTTACCTGGCCCTTCTTCTCCCCCTCTCTTTCTGCTTCCTGGCTGCAAAGAAGTGAGCAGCTTTGTTACATCACGTGCTCCTCTCCCTGTGATTTTCTGACTCATTATTGCCTTTGACCACTGGATGCAATGGTTTATAAATTAAGATTTCTGATACTGTGAGGTAAAAATAAATATTTCTTCTTTAATATGATTTTCTAGGATGTCTTAACAATGAAAAGGATGATTAGCACAGATATTATTAAGTCTGGAGCTTACAACTTGTGATATGTATGCACAATTATGAACTTCTACCACCTATAAATAAATGTATGGATCATGTGTAAAAATTAATTTCACCTATGACATCACTGGAAGCTGCTCATCTCCTCCATACCGCAGGTTACTTCTGTTATTATGGATATTTGTGTTGCGGGAGGTCCTTCCGCCCCTCCAACCAATAGCTGCTGAGATACCAGCCCATTGGGGCGTGGTCTCTCTCCCTTTAAAAAAGCGGCTACTTCCTCCGCATCTCTCTCTTCACTTCCTGCTCCACCGGAGACTAGACTCCCTTCCTGGTTGTGCAGAGGGCTGTTGTCTGGGACGGTGATCTGTAAGTTTTCCCCTTTAAATAAATAACACCCTATTAATCATAACTCCAAACTGGTGTGGCCTTGTTCGTGACTTACGCCTTCAATTTGTAGTTCAAAAAATTTTTATAAATGGAGTTGAAGAGTATCCCTGTCTTTTTGTTACATTTATCTCACTCTAATTACATTCAGAGTAGTTCATGATGTTTTGTTAATAGTTCACTCATTTTTATCCCTAAGTGTGTTTTACCATGTTATACATTACATTTTTCTAATCCATTCACCTACTGACAGACATTTTAAAAATTTCCATTTCTGACTATGAAACCTTACAATATGATGAACATCTGTATTCAAGTTACAGACAAAAATTTTGTGCTTCTTGGATAAATACTTAGATTTAAAAAAAAAAAAAACTGAATGCTATGGTGAGCCATTGAGCAACTCTCAAATTTGTAATCCAAAGAAGTTTTCTCATTTATATAGGTTTATTTATTTAGTATTCATACAATACCTTGCATATCTATGTCCTTATTATTTACATAGTATCAAATACACATATGTATATATGCATGTGTGTATGTATATATGTATACACATACATATACACACATACACAAACACGCACACACACATATATATACATATATATATATATATATACACATACATACATATACACACATATATACACCGCTGAAGGCATATAAAACAGTACACCTGTCCATGGTGTGTTCTACTCTGGGTACAAAACCAGGGATACAATCAGATCTGACTTGTTCAAGTCTAAGTCCAGAGACTTAGAATACACAACACTGTGGTGTAAATCTCATCACAATAGCAGGACCAGACCAGTGCTCTAGTGAAGCATTTCAATACAGAGAAGTTTTTTTCCCTTCAGTTTGTTTTTCTATTCAGGTCTTTAAAGGAACAGATATTTTACCTCCCTTGTATGGAGAACAAACTGTTTCTCTCAGTCTACTAGTTAAAATACTAAACCCATCTAAAAACACTCTCACAGACACAAAATAAATAATGTGTAACACAATATCTGGTAAATTCAATATAATTAAACCACACAAGAATTTAACTTTTATGTGCAGTAGGATCAACCCATTGCCATTGTTCTTGGGGTCTCAGTAGTCCTCATTGTCCGCTATGTTCAGCGAGACCGGTTTTAACCCCGGCTTTTTCAGACCCAGGCCAGCTGGCCTTGGTGAGTTCCCGATAGAACATCCCCATTGTCTCAGTGTGTGGGTGCACCCCTCGCGGTCCTGAGTTCCTTGCTCCTGCTCTCTCTCCTTCTGCTCCTGATTTGGACCTTGGGATTTCAGTCTGGTGCTCCATTGTGGAACTCTGTCTCTGTCTCCTTTCATCGCCTGATGAAGATTAATATCCAGGAGGATGCCTATATGTTTTTATTTGGGTTCACCTTTCTATTTAGCTTCTCTAGGATCACGAATTATAGGCTCAATGTCCTTTATACCTAGAAACCAATTATGAGTGAGTACATCCCGTGCTCCTCTTTTTGGGTCTGGCTTACCTCACTCAGGATAGTGTTTTCTATTTCCATCCATTTGCATGCAAAATTCAAGAAGTATTGTGTTGCTTAACATATGGTGCCTATGGTTTGATCATGTATCAGAAATGAGTGAATTTTCATGTATCAATGCTTTTTATTAATGATATATAATAATGTTTTATGAAAGCCATTCATATGCATATTTATTATTTTCATATTCCAATTTCTCTCTATATAAAGCTTATATTACTTGCTGTGTTATTAACATTTTTTATCATAATTATGAAGAAAATCTCAGTTATTTGGAGAACAATTTATGAAGACAATTTTGGAAATTTAAAACAATACTATGTAATTGTCATGAATCAGTGTCTTTGAACTAATCCATTATTTTGGGGTCTTCTTATAACCACAACCAATATGTCAAATGCATTGTGTATCAAATTTTAAGACCCTTAGAGGCCTCTTAGTTTCCCTCTTTGGGAAGCTGTCAAAGCCAACAGCACCTATTTAACATTGTCTATTTCATTGTGATTCATCTCTTTATGGTCTATTTTACCTGTCGGTATTTATTTTCATGTTTAATACTATTCATCCTTGTACCTATTTTCCACTACCTTCATTGCTGACAGAACTTTACCATATGTGAAGACATAAAACTGCTGGGATTTTCTGTTGCGCTTTCACATTATTTGACCTGGATACTTTGACTTCACCAAGATCCCACCTCCTTTCTGCCCTCTGTCGCCTCTTTGATTCTTTATTCATGTGCCTAATAGCATAGAAGCTTTGGATCAAGGCAACAGAATCACATGAACAAAAAACAATGCTAAACAATAAACACGAAACCAGAAGTAGGTATACTTTCTGACTCATTCTTTCCAAACAACTAGGTGAAACTGAAGCGTGTACGATTATTTTCTCTAAAGTGAAAGCAAAGCAAGAGCCTCCAAAAGGAATAAAACAAAAGGCCAGGGAAGCTACATCTTTGAAATTCTTAAGAGAAAAAAGTTTCTATCATCGCCAAGAAGTGAGCACTCATCTGACCTCCCAGAGTGATCACTATGTGTGGAGCAGAAGATCCGCTCAATGGCTCAGAGTTCACAAGGCCGTTGTAAGCCTGCCTAAAGAAACTTTAGCAATATACTTATTAAGAAACCTTTCACTTCCTCCGTGTTTTCTCCAGAAGCTCTGAAATAGATTTCTCTTTATCTTGTCTTAATTGTACCTGTCTATTAAAAATTTGGAGAGATAATACTGTGCTTAGTATTATGACCTTTATAGAGAATATTGAACCTGCTTCCATTAAAATAGAGATGAGTAGAAAATAATGAATTTTGCTACAGTGCTGCATGTGTGACAGTAAATGGATTAGCTCAAAAATATTGAAACTGAACACCTATCTATGGGCACAAAGGCTGAAAAATTTTCTTTCAGTGTAGAGCAAATGTAACTATTGTATCGGTATTATTTATCATACATTGAAGCATGGATTTTACTTGGAATGAATTTAGACAGGTAGCATTAATCTTTTTATAATGCTGAAAAGTTTATTTAATATAGAGAAGTTAAGCTTTTCTGA